AAATCTCAACACTATGGGTGACAAAGGCGCTAGGGGCTGTCTCGCATTTAGCAGCCACCCTTCCTGTGCAATCTCCGCTCTGAATGGAGGAATGAAGCGGCGTGTCTCTCTTCACTATCTTTTATTCGTCGCCCGGCCAATTCCGGACGCTACTTTTCTGTTGTCAGCATTGTTATGTAGCGTCTGGTGAAGGCAACTGCAGAAACTACAGAAGAAACTATTCGTTCGAGGAGCATCTAGACGGCTTCTTATTCTTTTTTTTGAAGCAGCGAGCAATTTAGCTCCTATTGTTTTACTGTGAACCCCACAGGCTGCTCTTGGAAAATGTACATTTGATGTTTGGTAGGAAAATCTTTCACCTAAGCTGCTTTGGAGGGACTATCGTTAAACACTGCACATGTCCCTTTGACAGTTTGGTGGAGAAAACACTCAGGCATCATTCGACTCTGAACATCGAACGAAGTTCAGCTGTGTACGAACAATTTGCAAATTGTTGGTGCTGAACAAATTTTGTTTTTTAAAGTCCCATGATCACGGCAAACTTCCTCATCTATTTGAATAACCAGTCTTATTGTTGATGCTGCCCCTAAAATTAGCCAACACATCACACATCAAAGTTGAAGACGAAAACTGTCGACGTCTGATGGATTACCAATGAAGGATGCCCTCATATGTACATCCCATCGTAAACCGGAAAGCGGAAAAATTGGACTCTTCTACCCGACGTGGTCGAATATGAGAGTGTTACGACCGCCCAAGGGAGAAAAGGAGATGGGTGACCTGCAGTACTACCTGCATAGTCGTGAGTAATGAAGGTATTCATCTTTCTAGGAGGGGAATGTGTGGGCTTATGCTCTCATGATATAGGGTAGCGCAAAGATATCAGATTATAAAAGTAAGATAGCGCTAGATGTATGGGTAGTGGGAAACACCTATCTAGAGAGTGGCGTCAGAAATCAAGTCAAGAGCAGCACAGTGGACTTTCCATTCCTTCTGACAGCCCTTGCTCTCTGGGAATTCTACCCAGTGTCTCTTCGGCATAGCAACCTTCTAGCAGCCAAATATTTTATAGTCGATGCGAGTTTTTTCGTACTTTTAACTACCTGTCTATAGGCGTACTGATCATCCATACTTCCGCTGCAGATCTCACAAGACATGTCCTACTTGCTGCTTCTCGTCCTGGTGGCTGGCGTTTTTTTTTCGGCCTCACTTAATTCATTGAAATAAGCCTGGACTGTCAATGTAATAGATCCAGTTTTAAGGCCGCGCAAATAGCATATTCGCGTCCGCCATACGGATGCAAGGATAATACAGACAGGCCTTGCAATTTTTGGCAATTGCTTTGTGACAAATACGCATATTAGATGCAGCTCCTCCCACGGAACCTGAACTGCTTCCTTCGCAACCCCTTACACTTTTGCCGCGTTCCAGGGGGGTCCGCAAACGGCCTGCAAGTACCGCCTCTCGACGCATACTCCGCCCTTTTGGTGCGCGTAACGCTCTACCAATAACAGTATACCTCTTACTCCACGATAACTACCCAGTTTCACATTATCTGAGACTTCCTACTGACCGAGTCTTTAGCTTGTGCAGCCAACTTTGCAAACTTGGAGACACCTCCGCCCGTCATGGGCGGCGCTGCTCTGCCTAGATACATGGGGAAGCTATGCTTTTATCAATCGCAGGCTACATAATTTCCCATGAGCGCCCCTATTAGGCGCTTGATTGCCCACCCCCAAGGCGGTCAGAGTCGACTTATAGCTCATCCACACGCTATACCCTATTATTTAAGGCTGTTCTACATCCTCCCAAAATTTTTCGCCGTACGAGCAACCGAACCCAATCTGGGTATGTGTTTTTGTAACTTCTGACCTAAACCGCGTCCTACCAAACTTGGCCCGGATTCTGCAGGAGGTTTATTAGGTAGCACCGAATCTCGTGATAGACATGCACACAAATAGGCGTAGCGCTGTACATATGACAGGAATTAGGGTAACAGGTAACAGGTAATTAGGGTATTAGGGCAACCCTTGAAATATGGTAAAACAGGGGAGCTTTGTTTAGTTAGGGGCAATGGAAGGTAGAGCTAACCTAACAAGGGAGGTCTTTCAGGACATGGAGCGTTTTTTTTTTCAAAATGGTTCCTGAATGTTGTAGAGGCTCATGTGAGGAACACAGAACCATGGTTCATTTTTCCTGAACGCCCCAGGAATGTCAAAACAGCGGGAAGAAATGGTCCAAAGTTCGATCCCCGTGATGACAAATTTTTGCAATTTATGTTGGCGCCTCCAAATTGCCGCAAAACACGACAATGACATCTATTCTCGACGATGGCGCCATTTGGCGGCAATCTGGGGGCGCCAAACTATATTGCAAAAATTAGTCATCACCGGGGATCGAACTCTGGACCATTTCTTCACCACTGTTTTGACATTCCTGGAGGCGTTCAGGAAAAATGGATCATGGTTCTGTGTTCCTCGCATGAGCCCCTACAACATGCAGAAAACCGTTTCGAAAAAGCGCTCCATGTCCTGAAAGACCTTCCTTGTAGTTCTCTCCATGAAGAAGTGAGGATAGCTTGAAAAAGGAGGAGCGTAAAACAAATAAATATTCATTACAACCAAACAAATACACTGTAAGTACCCAGACAACAGAGAGAAAGTATCCATAACACAAGCGAATAAATATGAAATGTTACAAAAATACGCTTCATACCGGATCTGAACCAGTAACCAGTTAAAAACTTGTAGTTACACCACTGCAGCTATCAATCAGACAGTCATTAACTATGTGAAGATCTGTGAAGTATGATCAGGAAAAAATCATTGCAGAAGTCTTGGATTCCATTTCAGACGCACCATTTCTTCGGTAGAATTACTGTACAACGTTACTGTTTAACTCAGACATTTTGACAACTAATTCAAATGTGAAAGAAATTAATCTGATCCGGTTTGCAGCCACGGAAGGAGTAATTATCAAAATACGAACGTGAATGTAAGTATTTTCTAGCTACCGATCATCATTGTGCAGGCATCTGTTCTCATACCAAGGACAGAAACGAAACAGAAACGTTCGCTGTGCTTCATCACGATCCATCATCATACCCATACAATACGAGATGTAGTACTGCTTGTTGCCCTCACAAAATCCTTGAGTTTTGGAGATTTTGCGAACTTTACGTGTCTGAATTGTGCTTTTGAATTCTCATAGCTTGTTTGACACCAGCACTTCCCACCATTTCAACGTCGCACGTATTTCAGGGCCACACCCGATGCTAGCGAATAA